AGAAAAAGGGAAAAAAGAATTATTTATCTATTTTTAATTTTTTTAGAGATGGGTCTCACTATGTTGCCCAGGCTGGAGTGCAGTGGCTATTCACAGGCGCGATCCCACTAATGATCAACATGGGAGTTTTGACCTGCTCTGTTTCTGACCTGGGCCGGTTCACCCCTCTTTAGACAACCTGCTGGTCCCCTGCTCCCAGGAGGTCACCATATTGATGCCGAACTTAGTGCGGACACCCAATCGGCATAGTGCACTACAGCCCAGAACTCCTGGGCTCAAGAGATCCTCCCACCTCAGCCTCCGGAGTAGCTGGGACTACAGGCATGCGCCACAGTGCCTGGCCAAAAAAAAAAGAATTTTTAAAATGACAATTTGTTTTTCTCTAGCTTACTTATTGCAAGATTACAGTATATGATACATAGAACGTACAAAATCAGTGTCCATCAACTGTTTGTGTCATCAGTAAGGCTTTTGGTCAGCAGTAGGCTGTTAGTAGTCAAAAATGACACCCAGATTTTTGACTGCAGGGGTGGGCTTGGTACTCCTAACGCCTGTGTTGGTTCTAAGGTCGACTGCACAGAAACCCCCTAGCCCAGGGCTCATGGTTACTTAATGCATAGTGATAATCATGAATATTTAAAAACAAAATTGGGGTGTCACTCTGTCACCCAGGCTGAAGTGCAGTGGTGCGATCACAGCTCACTGCAACCTCCGCCTCCCTGGTTCAAGCAACTCTCGGGCTTCAGCCTCCCAAGGAGCTGGGATTACAGGCGTGTGCCACTACGCCTGTATAATTTTTTTTTTTTTTTTTTTTTTTGTATTTTTAGTAGAGAGGGTGTTTCATTATGTGGGCCAGGCTGGTCTCAAACTCCAGGCCTCAAGTGATCGGCCCACCTCGGCCTACCAAAGTGCTGGGATCACAGTCGTAGACCACTGTGCCTGGCCCCAGACACTATTTATTTATTTTTCTTTTATTCTTTTCTTGACACTATTTTTTAAGAGTACGAAATTGAAGAATTTTTTTTTTTTAAGACTCACTCTGTCACTAGGCCGGAGTGCAATGGCATGATCTCGGCTCACTGCAAACTCTGTCCCCTGGTTTTAAGTGATTCTCCTGCCTTAGCCTCCCGAGGAGCTGGGATTACAGGCGCCTGCCACTGCACCTGGCTAATTTTGTATTTTTAGTAGAGACGGGGTTTCACCATTTGGGCCAGGCTGGTCTCAAACTCCTGACCTCAGGTGATCCACCCGCCTCCACCTCCCAAAGTGCTGGGATTACAGGTGTGAGCCACCATGCCCAGCTGAAGAATATTTTGGTAGAGAATTTAGAACACTCTAATTAAAGTAGTCAGAATAGTATAATGGACCGCAGCCCACCCGAGCCACTATCAGGCCCTACTCAGCCTCCACCACCCTGTGCCCACCCCTTTTGCCTCCCTGTTAGATATTATTTTGCAGCAAACTTCAGTTATCTTACTATTCCATAAATATTTTGTTATATGTCTCTAAAACATACAAACTCTTATTTTATTTATTTATTTTTTTGAGACAGGGTCTCTCTCTGTTGCCCAGGCTGGAGTGCAGTGGTGTGATCATGGCTCACTGCAGCCTCCACTTCCCAGGTTCAAGTGATCCTTCCACCTCAGCCTTCTGAGTAGCTGGGACCACAGGCACATGTCACCATGCCTAGTTAATTTTTAAATGTTTTGTAAAAATGGAGTCTCACTATGTTGGCCAGTATGGTCTTGAACCCCTGAACTTAAGTGATCCTCCTGCCTTGACCTCCCAAACTGCTAGGATAACAGGGATGAGGCGTCACACCTGGCCCAGACTCTTTAAAAACCTAACCAGGCCAGTGAGGTGGCTCACCTGTAATCCAAGCACTTTGGGAGGCCGAGGCAGGTGGATCATCTGAGGTCAGGAGTTCAAGACCAGCCTGGCCAATGTGGTGAAACTCCATCTCTACTAAAAATACAAAAAATTAGTCAGGCGTGGTGGTGGGTGCCTGTAGCCCCAGCTACTCAGGGGCTGAGGCAGGAGAATCGCTTGAAGCAGGGAGGCGGAGGTTGCGGTGAGCCAAGATCGCACCATTGCACTCCAGCCTGGGCAACAAGAGTGAAACTCTGTCTCAAAAACAAAACAAAACAAAACAAAATAAAAACCTAACCACAATACCGTAGTCATGCTCCAAAAACTTCTGAAAACTTTACCAATAATTTTTTAATATCTATAGCTTCCAGTTTAGCCAATAACTGTTGAGTTTTGGAATCATATCTGAATTTGACTGTCAGCTCACTTCCTTGCCAAGGAAACTTGGGAAGTTGTTTAAATTCTTTTTTTTTTTTTTTTTTTTTGAGACGGAGTTTTGCTCTATCGCCCAGGCTGGAGTGCAATGGCACAATCTTGGTTCACTGCAACCTCCGCCTCCTGGGTTCCAGCAATTTTCCTGCCTCAGCCTCTTGAGTAGCTGAGATTACAGGCATTTGCCACCCCGCCTGGCTAATTTTTGTATTTTTAGTAGAGATGGGGTTTCACCATGTTGACCAGGCTGGTCTCGACCTCCTGACCTCAGGTGATCTGCCCGCCTCGGCCTCCCAAAGTGCTGGGATTATAGGCGTGAGCCTCTGCACCTTGCCTTTTTTTTTTTTTTTTTTTTTTAAAGAGTCAGGGGTTTGCTCTTTTGCTCTGTTGCCCAGGCTGGAGTGTAGTGAGGCAATCATATCTCACTGCAGCCTTGACTTTCTGGGCTCAAGTGATCCTCCCACCTCAACCTCCCAAGTAGCTGGGACTACAGGCACACACCACCATGCCCAGCAAATTTTTTGTTATTGCTATTGTTGTGGAGATGTGGTCTCGCTATGTTGCTGATGCTGGTCTTGAACTCCTGGCCTTGAGTGATCCTTCCACCTTAGCCTCCCCAGTAGCCAGGACTACAGGAGCATGCTACTGTGCCTGGCAGCATTTGAAACCTCTTTTTTTTTTTTTTTTTTTGAGATGGAGTGTAATCTTGCTCTGTCGCTCAGGCTAGATTGCAGTGGCATAATCTCTGCTCACTGCAACCTCTGCCTCCCAGGTTCAAGTGATCCTCCTGCCTCAGCCTTGAGAGTAGCTGGGATTACAGGCACCTGCCACTACACGTGGCTAATTTCTGTGTTTTTAGTAGAGATGGAGAGGGGGTCTCACCATATTGGCCAGGCTGGTCTTAGACTCCTGACCTCAGGTGATTTGCACACCTTGGCCTCCCAAAGTGCTGGGATTATGCCTGACCAAGCATCTGACACTTCTATCCCTAGAAATATAGTAACATTATTAAATAAAGTAACATTATTATTAAATATAGTAGCTTCATTATTTCTGGCAGTAGAGCAGTGATTCTCAAGGTGGGGCAGTGAGGGAGGGGGTTGACTATTCCCCAGGGAACACTCAGCAGTGTGGGAAAATAGCTGTGGTTGTCGTGACTGGAGCATGTGTGTGTTACTTGCATCTTGTGGGTGGAGGCCAGAGGCTGCTCAACACCTTACATTGGACAGGACAGGGCCCCCAACAAAGGATAGTCTAGTCCCGCCAGGTGAGGAGGCTCACGCCTGTAATCCCAGCACTTTGGGAGGCCAAGGCGGGTGAATCACCTGAGGTCAGGAGTTGAAGACCAGCCTGGCCAAGATGGTGAAACCCCGTCTCTACTAAAATACAAACAAACAAAAAAATTAGCAGGGTGCAGTGGCAGGTGCCTGTAATCCCAGCCACTCGGGAGGCTGAGGCAGGATAATTGCTTGAACCTGGGCGGCGGAGGTTGCAGTGAGCTGAGATCACGCCATTATACTCCAGCCTGGGCGACAGAGCAGGACTCTGTCTCAAAAAAAAAGTCTAGTTCCAAATGTCGTCAGTGGTGAGGTCAGGAAGTCCTGGTCTAGAGACAGATTTCCTTAACGCTTGCTGGAACCTTGACCTTGGAGACCAAACTGGGCTTGATTCCCGACTCTACCACTTGTTGAGGGAAGCTGGCAGAAGTGATTTTTGTTTTTTACTTTTTGAGACGGAGTCTTGCTCTGTTGCGCAGGCTGGAATGCAGTCGCTCGATCTCAGCTCACTGCAACCTCCACCTCCTGGGTTCAAATAATTCTCGTGCCTCAGCCTCCCACGTAGTTGGGATTACAGGTGTGCATCACCATGCCCAGATAATTTTTGTTTTTTTTTTTTAGTAGAGATGGGGTCTCACCATGCTAGCCAGGCTGGTCTTGAACTCCTGACCTCAGGTGATACATCCACCTCGGGCTCCCAAAGTGCTGGGATTAGAGGCACGAGCCACCAAGCCCAGCCTTGGAGATTTTTTGTTTTTGAGATGGAGTCTTGCTCTGTTGCCCAGGCTGGAGTGCACTGCAATCTCTGCCTCCCGGGTTCAAACAATTTTTGTGCCTCAGCCTCCCAAGTAGCTGGGATTACAGGCGTGCATCACACGCCCAGCTAATTTTTGTATTTTTAGTAGAGATGGGGATCTCACCACATTGGCCAGACTGGTCTGGAATGCCTGACCTCGGGTGATCCACCCGCCTCGGCCTCCGGAAGTGCTGGGATTGCAGGCATGAACCACTGCTCCTGGTATCGGAGTTTTAATGGTGATTAATCATGGCTAATATCTTGCAGGTCCTTCCTGAGATGTAGGCACGGTGCTAGCCTCACTCACTATATAAATACATTTCATTGTCTCACCAAACTCCTGGGTTGGTGAGAAATTTCAAGTCCAGAGTCGTGAAGCATCACAGGCACGGGACTTCACTTTTCTGCATCTTGCTTTCTTCATCCATGAAACAGGATCGTAATGTCCATCTCTTGGGGTAATTATGTGGACTGCTAATGCCAAATGCCACCCAACTGGCACCTCCTAGACCCTTAGCAAATGGCATCTTTTACGAGAAGCCGTATCAGCCTGGCACACAATGGTTAACCACCAAGTCTGGGCGGAGTGCCCGGCTAAGCTGGTGCCCGAGTGCAAACAATTTCTTTCATTATCCCAGTTGCTGGGAGATTTGGGCAAGGAGAGACCCATGAAATACCTAAGACAAAAGTTACTAGGATAGCCAGGGGCTTGTCTTCCGGGTGGCGCTGAGGCCAGGAAACTGTCCTCTCTAACCTCCTTCCCCAGAGGAGTCTAAATTGGCCCTTCCACTACCAGCAAGGACAAAAGAGAGGCTGGAGCCCCCAGGGGCAGCCGGAGCGCTGATGCTGCAAAGGGCCTCTGTCCTTCCCGGAGAAGCCCAGTCTTGCTCCGCTGTCTTCTTCAGCAACAAACAAAAGTCAAGAAAGAGAAATAGTTGTGGATGAACCTGTTGTTGGGACGATAATTTACTGAGCACCTACTACGTGCCAGGCACGCCAACCTTACCAGACAAGATCCTTGGGCTCATGGAATTCACTTTCTCGTGGGAGAGATAAACAATAATCACGTAGAAACATTATCAGCTGGTGGTAAGTACCGTGACGAAAATTAAATTAGGGCGATGGCATTGGGAGTGGCTTAAGGGGTCACTACGCAGTGGGATGGTCGGATGGTCGGAGATGGCCTCTCAGGAGGAGGTAACATTGAAGCTAAAATGTGAATGACATAAACAGATGCAGGATAGAGCATTCAAGCAGAGCACGTGCAAAGGCCCCCGAGGTTGAAATAAGCTAGATGCATTAGACTAGGGGTTCTCAAGCAAGGGGAATTCTGCCCCTTAGAGGACATAGCAATGTCTAGGGAGATTTTTTTTTTTTAATTTTATTATTTGAGATGGAGTCTTGCTCTGTCGCCCAGGCTGGAGTGCAGTGGTGCGATCTCGGCTCACTGCAACCTCCGGCTCCAGGTTCAAGCGATTCTCCTGCCTCAGGCTTCTGAGTAGCTGGGATTGCAGGTACATGCCACCATGCCAGCTAATTTTTATATTTTTAGTAGAGACAGGTTTCAACATGTTGTTCAGGCTGCTCTCCAACTCCTGACCTTGTGATCCACCTGCCTCGGCCTCTCAAAGTGCTGGGATTACGGGAGTGAGCCACTATGCTCAGCTGATTTTTTTTTTCCGAGATAGGGTCTCACTCTGTTGCCCAGGCTGGAGTACAGTGGTATGATCTTGGCTCACTTCAACCTCTGCCTCCCAGGCTCAAGTGATCCTCAGCCTTTTGAATAGCTAGAACTACAGGTGTGTACCACCACACCTGGCTAATTTTTTGTAGAGATGGGGTTTCACCATGTTGCCCAGGCTGGTCTTGAACACTTGGACTCCCAAAGTGCTGGAATTATAGGCACGAACCACCACACCAGCCCTGGCTAATTTTTTATTTTGTGGAGATGCTGTCTCCCTATGTTGCCCAGGCTGGTCTTAAACTCCTGGGTTCAAGCAATCCTCCTGCCTCAGCCTCCCAAAGTGCTGAGATTATAGGCATGAGCCACTGCAGCTGGCCCTTCAGCTGATTTTAATTTATACCCATTCACCATAACCTGTGAGTATCTATGAGTGCTACAGCTTTTTTTTGGTTTTATTTTATTTTTTATTTATTTTTTTGATGGAGTCTGGCTCTTGTTGCCCAGGCTGGAGGGCAGTGGTGCAATCTCAGCTCACTGCAACCTCCATCTCCTGGGTTCAAGTGATTCTCATGTCTCAGCCTCCCAAGTAGCTGTGATTACAGATGTGCACTGTCACGCCCTGCTAATTTTTGTATGTTTAGTAGAGACAGCGTTTCCCTATGTTGGCCCGGCTGATCTTCAACTTCTGACCCCTGGTGATCAGCCCGCCTCGGCCTCCCAAAGTCCTGGGATTACAGGCATGAGCCACTGCGCCCGGCCTACAACACTATTTTTTAATTCTCTGAATCTTAAGGGATCATGGAACCTGAGAGGGTGCTCTTGGGGATCGCTCACTGGCAGAGTCCGTCCCGGGGGGACAAGGCAGGGAAGGGAAGTTAAGCCAGAGAGGATAGTAACAGCAAAACACACAAAAGTTTGAAAATGCCCAGTAATCCTACAGAATCAATATCACTTGTATTTTACAAACCTGTCTCCCGACTGCCGTGGTGATATTTTGTTCATGGTGGATATTTTTGGCATTAATTTTGATCTGCTAACACATTGTGCTACCTCATATATTGCTCCAGAGATGAGTGCCCTGAATGACTCTTAGTTTCATTTCACAGACCATGCGGCTGGTGCCCCGAGAGGGAGCCCCCCTGCTTAAGCCCTCCAGGAGGGCGATGGAGGAGCCAACCTCATGGATGCCAAGGTATGCCTTTGTTCTCTCTGCCTCCAGCAGCGGTTTGCTACAGCTGTGAAGACGCTGGGCAGGATTTGGGTCACCAGGGCATTTTCAGTAATGTTAGATCATGGCTGGCAGTGGAGGCTCATGCCTGTAATACCAGCACTTTGGGAGGCTCAGGTGGGGGGATGGCTTCCTGCCAGAAACCTGCCAAGTTCCAGCCTTGAACTCAACACAGCAAGACCCCATCTCTACAAAAAAAATTTTATTTTTTTTGAGACTTGAGTTTCGCTCTTGTTACCCAGGCTGGAGTGCAATGGCGCGATCTCGGCTCACCGCAACCTCCGCCTCCTGGGTTCAGGCAATTCTCCTGCCTCAGCCTCCTGAGTAGCTGGGATTACAGACACGCGCCACCATGCCCAGCTAATTTTTTATATTTTTAGTAGAGACGGGGTTTCACCGTGTTGACCGGGATGGTCTCAATCTCTTGACCTCGTGATTCACCTGCCTCGGCCTCCCAAAGTGCTGGGATTACAGGCATGAGCCACCGCGCCCGGCCCAAAAAAAATTTTTTTTTTGAGATGAAGTTTTGCTCTTGTTGCCCAGGCTGGAGTGTAATGTGCAATCTAGGCTCACTGCAACCTCTGCCTCCCAGGTTCAAGTAATTCTCCTGCCGCAGCTTCCCAAGTAGCTGGGATTACAGGTGCCTGCCACCACACCCAGCTAATTTTTTGTATTTTTAGTTTCACCATGTTGGCCAGGCTGGTCTTGAACTCCTGACCACAAGTGATCCGTCCACCTTGTCCTCTCAAAGTGGTGGGATTACAGGCACATGATCAAAGCTCACAGCAGCCTTGAACTCTTGCGCTCATGCAATTCTCTCCTCTCAGCCACCCAAGTAGCTGGGACAACAGGCGTGAACCACCATGCCATGGCTATATTTTTTTAAAAACTTTTTTTTTTGCAGAGATGAGGTCTCACTATGTTTGTTGCCCAGGCTGGTCTTGAACTCCTGGCTCAAGTGATCCTCCCTGGCCTCTTGAATAGCTGGGATGACTGGCACAAGCCACTGTGCCCAGCTAGTAGAGTTGATTTAAAACTAGTTTCTTTTTTTTTTTCCTTTCGAGATGGAATCTCGCTCCATCACCAGGCTGGAGTGCAGTGGCGCGATCTCAGTTTACTACAACCTCCACCTCCTGAGTTCAAGTGATTCTCCTGCCTCAGCCTCCCAGGTAGCTGGGACTACAGGCCCGTGCCACCACCATGCCCAGCTAATTTTTGTATTTTTCATAGAGATGGGGTTTTATCATGTTGGCCAGGCTGCTCTTGAACTCCTGACCTCAGGTGATCCATCCACTGTGGCCTCCCAAAGTGCTGGGATTACAGGCATGAGCCACTGCTCCTGGCCTAAAACTGGTTCCTCAGTTTCTCAACACTGCTGACAGTTGGGGATGGATCACTCAGCAGCGGCTTGTTGGGCATTGTCAGATGTTGAATAGCATCCCTGGTCTCCACCCAGATGACGCCAGTAGCATCTCCCACTCATGGCAACTGAAAAGGTCCCCAGACATTGCCAGTGTTCCCTGGGGGCTAAGTGGTCCCCAGGTGAGAACTGCTGTTTGAAATAGTACCGGTGGTGCTTGGACGTGGAAGGAGTTTGCCTCGTGGGAGGGGGTGGTCCTTAAGGGCAGGATAGGGCGGGAGTTTCATCAAGCGTTTGTCTTTCTTGCCTGGGCCGTGGGGCTGGGCATGGCTCCCAGCGTCTCCTCTGCACACCTGGGCTCAGGCTCAACTTACATGGGTAGGCCCCAGGGGACCCAGGCCCCAATGCCTAGCACTGGGAAACCACAGTTGCTGTGGCGACCACTGAACTCTCAGGACAAGGTGCTGGGAAGAGGACTCCCGTGACTAGAGGAGCCAATATCCAGAGGGCTTGGCGGGGAGGCCGCTGTCCAATACCCGTCATGAGTGCTTGCAGACCCGGGAAAGCAGTGGAGAGGAGCTGGTTGAGCTCCCCAGAGGCGCTGGAGGTGGTGGGGGCTGTGGGTCACTGGGGGAGCCTCAGAAGGTGAAATGGGAGCCCCGCTCCTGATGGCCCTGCCTGGCTGGACTCCTAGGCTGCTGGTGTGAGGTCTCTGAACCCCAGACCCTTTCCAGGGGAAGGGTCATTTCGGTGGGTGGGCAGCAATGAGCGTGGGCCCCCTCAGCCCGAGTACCCGCCGGCGGCTTCTCCAGGGTGAAGCCGGCCCCCTCCCAGCACCTCTGCCCAGCAGTGTGGCCATCTTCATCAGCTCCACGGCCTCAGGTAAGGTGCAGGGTACGGGTGGGGGCTCAGAGGCAAGTGGGCACTCCCTTCAAGCGGTGTCAGGGCTTGGGCACGGTTCCTGGAGTCCTTTAGGAGACCTAGATGCGAACCAGGTGCCGTGGCTCACACCTGTAATCTCAGCCCTTTGGGAGGCTGACGCAGGTGGATCACTTGAGGTCAGGGGTTTCTGATTAGCCTGGGCAGCACGGCAAAACCCCGTCTCTACTAAAAACACAAAAAATTAGCTGGGCCTGGTGGTGCGTGACTGTAGTCCCAGTTACTGGGGTGACTGAGGCAGGAGAATTGTTTGAACCCAGGAGGTGGAGGTTGTAGTGAGCAAAGATTGTGCCACTGCACTCCAGCCTGGGCAACAGAGCAAGACTCCGTCTCGAAAAAACAAAGAAAAAACCAAAAAGGAGATATTAGCTAATAGGGTGTTGCTACACAGCACTGCCCAACTCCACAATCGGAGAAGTCAGCTGGCAGCTTGAAACTGACCAGGGTGGAGTATTTACACCAGGAAAGTGGCAGATAATACAAACTGGATTTTTAAAAATTTGTTTTGGTGAACAGAGCATTATGGAGCATTTGCCGGGACATTTGTTTTGTTTTGTTTTTTGAGGCAGGGTCTCTCTCCGTCGCCCAGGCTGGAGTGCAGTTGTGCGATCTCAGCTCACTGCAACCTCCACCTCCCAGGTTCAAGCAATTCTCCTGCCTCAGCCTCCTGGTAAGCTGGGATTAAAGGCACCTGCCACCATGCCCGGCTAATTTTTGTATTTTTAGTAGAGACAGGATTTCACCATGTTGAGTAGGCTGGTGTCAAACACCTGATCTCAGGTGATCTGCCCGCCTTGGCCTTTCAAAGTGCTAAAATTACAGGTGTGAGCCACTGCGGCCGGCCACACCGCTGTATTTATATGTGCTCTCATAGAGATTACAACCTGGCTGGGGGAAAGGACACATAAATTAAGTAGCTGCAGCTTGTGGGCCAGGTGTGGTGGTTCACACCTGCAATCCCAGAACATTGGGAGGCTGAGGGGGGGAGAACTGGGAGACCTTGATGTGAGTGCAGCCCAGGTAGCGACTCATCTGGGGGCCTCCTGGACCCTCTGTTTCCTCCTTAAGAAGCCCCACTGAGAACACACACTGAGAACCAAACTTGATAGAGTTTCTGTGAGTGGTGTTTGATGTTGCAACTAACATTCATGACCAACAGGCTTAAAAACTGCCAGAATCTTGCCATAGCTGCATGACCTGGGCGATGGGACTCTGCTCACCTCCCCAGCCTTATCTCATGTGGTCGCTTCCTTGTCCACTTGTTGTATCCACACCAAAACCCACAGATCCAGTAACCCACAAGGCCTGGGCCCCATATTAGGACTGTCACCCTCACAGTTCCCTCTTCTCCTTATTCTGATCCTTTGGGTCTCAGGGCCAACACCCCCTTTCAGGGAGCCCTTCTCTGCCCCTCAATCTAAAATAGATTTGTCCCGCTGAGGTGGGCGGATTGCTTGAACTCAGGAGTTCAAGACCAGCCTGAGTAAGATGGCGAGGCCCCATCTCTACAAAAAGTAAAAAAAAAAAAAAAAGTAGGCTGGGTGCAGTGGCTCATGACTGTAATCCCAGCACTTTGAAAGCCCGAGGTAGGTGGATCATGAGGTCAGGAGTTTGACATCATTCTGACCAACATGGTGAAACCCCATCTCTACTGAAAATACAAAAGATTAGCTGGGTGTAGTGGTATGCGCCTGTAGTCCTAGCTACTCAGGAGGCTGAGGTGGGAGAATCGCTTGAACCGGGGGGGCGGAAGTTGCAGTGAGCCAACAGAGTGAGACTCCATCTCAAAAAATATATAAACAAATAAAAGAAATTTAAAAAAATAGGCTGGGTGCGGTAGCCCATGCCTGTAATCCCAGCACTTTGGGAGGCTGAGGCAGGTGGATCACCTGAGGTCAGGAGTTCCAGACTAGCCTGGCCAACATGATGAAACCCCATCTCTGAGAAAAATAGAAAAATTAGCCAGGCGTGGTGGTGCGTGCCTGTAATCCCAGCTGCTTGGGAAGCTGAAGCAGGAGAATCTCTTGAACCGGGGAGGCGGAGGTTGCAGTGATCCAATATTTCGCCACTGCACTCCAGCCTGGGTGATGGAGCGAGACTCTATCTCAAAGCAATAAAAAAGAAAAGAAAAAAAATAAAGTAGATTTGTCCATGGTATCCTCCAGTCCAGCCCACCCACGTGTTTTCCACGGGATTCTTCACAAACTGCAATTACTTTTAAAAATTATTGATTGATTGATTGTGCCTCGTGGTTAAGCCTAAGGGGCGCCCTGGCAAACAAGATGTAACCCGCGGGGCATGGTGGCTCACTCCTGTAATCCCAGTGCTTTGGGAGGCCAAAGCAAGAGGATTGCTTGAGCCTAGGAGTCCGAGACCAGCCTGAGAAACATGGTGAAACTCCTTCTCTACAAAAAATTTTAAAAAATTATAGGGATGTGGTGGTGCGTGCCTGTAATCCCAGCTACTTGGGAGGCTGAGGTGGGAGGATTGATCGATGCTAGGAGTTTGAGGTTACAGTGAGCTGTGATCGCACCACTGCACTCCAGCCTGGGTGAGGGAGTGAGACCTGTTCCTTAACAATTTTTTTTTTTTTTAAACAGGGTCTTGCTCTGTTGCCAGGCTGGAGTACAGTGGCGCGATCTCGGCTCACTGTAACCACCTCCCAGATTAAAGCAATTCTCTTGCCTCAGCCTCCCCAGCAGCTTGGACTACAGGCACGCACCACCATGCCCAGCTAATTTTTGTATTTTTTAAAGTAGAGACGGGGTTTCACCATGTTGGCCAGAATGGTCTTAATCTCTTGACCTTGTGATCCACCCACCTCGGCCTCCCAAAGTGTTGGGATTACAGGTGTGTGCCACTGTGCCCGGCCCAAAATATATATATTTTTTCCATTAGCAAATCAGTTGTATAGCAGCAAAATATTTTTTAAAATATATATAGCACTGGGTATAGTGGCTCATGCCTGTAATCTCAAAACTTTGGAAGGCTGAGACAGGAAGATGGCTTGAATTCAGGAGTTCAAGACCAGCCTGGGCAACATAGGGAGACCCCCACAACATAAATAACTACCTATTGTGAATTTTTTCTTTTTTTTTTTTTTTGAGATGGTGGCAGCAGATGAGGCTTTAGTCATAGGCCAGTCGCAGTGGCTCAAGTCTGTAACCCCAGCACTTTGGGAGGCAGGGGATGGAGGATCGCTTGAGACCAGGAACTCGAGACCAGCCTGGGCAACATAGCGAGACCTCATTCTCCACAAAAAGGGGGAAAAAGTCAAAAGTAAATAAATAAAAGCAGAGCTGTGCAACTGGGAAGAGCACTGGGCCCTTTCCACTAACACCCTCCATGCTCCTCCTTGCAGATATGGACGCAGAGAGGGAAGCCCTGCAGAGCACCGCCTACCTGGAAGTGCAGACCTTCTGCCAGAAGCATGGCTTGATGTTTGAGGTAACCAGAAGTCACCCCGGGCTTCATGCTTTTCCTTTTTTTTTTGAGATAGAGTCTCACTCTGTCGCCCAGGTGGGAGTGCAATGGCACAATCTCGGCTTACTGCAACCTCCATCTCCGGGTTTAAGCAATTCTCCTGCCTCAGCCTCCCGAGTAGCTGGGACTACAGGCATGTGCCACCATGCCCAGCTAATTTTTTGTATTTTTAGTAGACATGGGGTTTCACTGTGTTAGCCAGGATGATCTCAATCTCCTGACCTCGTGATCCTCCTGCCTTGGCTTCCCAAAGTACTGAGCCACCTTTTTTTTTTTTTTTTTTTGAGACAGAGTCTTGCCTGTCGCCCAGACTGGAGTGCAGTGGCATGATCTCAGCTCACTGCAACCTCCACCTCCCGGGTTCAAGCGATTCTCCTGCCTCAGCCTCCTAAGTGGGACTACAGGTGCCCGCCACCACACCCAGCTAATTTTTTGTATTTTTAGTAGAGATGGAGTTTCGCCGTGTTAGCCAGGATGGTCTTGATCTCCTGACCTTGTGATCCACCTGCCTTGGCCTCCCAAAGTGCTGGATTACAGTCGTGAGCCACCACACCTTTTTTTCTTTTCTTTTTGAGATGAAGCCTCACTCTTTTGTCCAGGCTGGAGTGCAGTGATGCCAACTTGGCTCACTGCAACCTCTGCCTCCTGGGTTCGAGCAATTGTCCTGCCTCAGTCTCTCAAGTAGCTGGGACTACAGGTGGCGCCACCACGCCCGGCCATCCACGCTCTTTTAATGCTTTACTGTTGAGTCTTGAAATTCACAATAACTTTTAAACAAGAGGCCAACATGTTCTTTTTGCACCAAGCCCCGCAGATTCTTAGTTGGTCCTGGAGATCCAGCTGCGGAGATAAAATTCCTTGGGATTATAAAAAGTCATGTGGGACAGGGTGCGGTGGCTGACACCTGTAATCCCAGCACTTTGGGAGACCGAGGCGGTCAGTTCACTTGAGGTCAGGAGTTCGAGACCAGCCTGGGCAACATGGTGAAACCCCGACTCTACTAAAAATACAAAAATTAGCTGGGTGTGGTGGCTCATGCCTATAGTCTGGTGACAGAGCAAGACCTCATCTCAAAAAAAAAAAAAAAAAATGCAGTGGTGTGATTACAGCTCACTGCAACCTTGACTTTCTGGGCTCAAGGGATTCTCCTGCGTCTAGCTTCCTGAGGAGCTGAAACTACAGGCGTACACCACCATGTCTGAGTAACTGAGGATGTTCCTGCCTGCACATATCCTTGTGGAAACTGATGAACCATCTCTGGAGTCTCAGTTTAACTTGAAGCTGCCTCCTTGCTATTTATGTGAACGATTCATCGCACCAAAGTTCCACTTGGTTAAAAGATGAGGCCGGGCACGGTGGCTCACACCTGTATTCCCAGTGCTTTGGGAGGCCAAGGCAGGAGGACTGTTGGAGGCCAGGAGTTTGATACCAGCCTGGGCAACATAATAAGATTCCATCACTATAATTTTTTTTTTTAATGAGCTGGGTGTGGTGACGCCCACATGTAGTCTCAGCTACTGGGGAGGCTGAGGTGGGAGGATCACTTGAGCCCAGGAGTTTGAGGCTGCAGTGAGCTGTGATCAAGCCACTGCACTCCAGCCTGGGTGCTGGAGTTGGATGCTGTCTTTAAAAAGGAAAATCTGGGCCAGGCACAGTGGCTTACGCCTGTAATCCCGACACTTTGGGAGGCCAAGATGGGTGGATCACCTGAGGTCAGGAGTTTGAGACCAGACTGGCTAACGTGGTGAAACTCCGCCTCCACTAAAAATACAAAAATTAGCCAGATGTGGTGGTGGGCACATGCAATCCCAGTTGCTTGGGAGACTGAGGCAGGAGAAGCGATCGAACCCAGGAGGCAGAGGTTGCAATGAGTCAAGATCATGCCACTGTACTCCAGCCTGGGCAACAGAGCAAGACTCCTGTCTCCAAAAAAAAAAAAAAAAAAAAGTAGTGTACCTTTGGGTAAAAAAGAAAAGGAAAGTATACGTGATCATTATGTTTTGTATATTTATTACTGAGAAAGAAGCAGTGCTGGGAATTGCACTTTGCCCACTATTGATCATGAGACATAGTTCAATGCCAGAGGCACTATGAAAGCGTCAGCACTGAGGACTGATGAAATGCCTCGAGCTCTTCTGTTTAATGCCCACGCCGTGCTCTGACGCAGACACTGTCAACATCCTCCACGCGCACATGGGGAGACGGTGATCCTTCCGGAGGCTGGTTCCTGACCCCTTTTCCTTTCCTGCTCCTGTAACTCATCGTCCCTCCCCTTCTTCCTGCAGTCACATTCAGTACTGCTGGCCTCTCGCTGCCTGTCGTAGGAATCTACGTGTCCTCTCTCGGGGCTACAGAATTCAGGGGCAGGGACTGCTCCGAGTTGTCTTTGTCTCCCTGTCACCCCAGCCTTCCGCAGGGTCAGCTTTGCCCACTTGAACTGAGCCGTTCTGCCCAGCCTCCCCCTGGCGAGCGGGCGAAAATGAACCACAAGTGTGCGGTTGCCAAGGAGACTTTGCTATGTCCAGTTTTGGCCGAACTAAACACCCTCCTTTGCAAGGAAAGCTCTGTGAACAAGTGTGGGCACGTCTTTGCTTTCAAAGCAACAGTTTGAAAATGGCCAAGTTCCTTTTTTTAAAAAGGTTTTGTTTTGTTTTGTTTTGTTTTTTGAGACAGAGTTTCGCTCTTGTTGCCCAGGCTGGAGTGCAGTGGCACGATCTTGTCTCACCACAACCTCCGCCTCCTGGGTTCAAGCAATTCTCCTGCCTCAGCCTCCCAAATAGCTGGAACTACAGGCATGCACCACCATACCCAGCTAATTTTGTATTTTTAGTAGAGACAGGATTTCTCCATGTTGGCCAGGCTGGTCTCAAACTCCTGACCTCAGGTGATCTGCCCGCCTCAGCCTCCCAAAGTGCTGGGATTACAGGCGTGAGCCGCCACACCCGACCTCTTTTTTTCTTTTATTATGCTTTGCTTTTCCTTTTTTTCTTGCAACAGGGGCTCACTCTGTCACCCAGGCTGGAGTGCAGGGGTGCAATCACAGCTCACTGCAGCTTCTGCTTCCTGGGCTCAGATGATCCTCCTGCCTCAGCTTCTCAAGTATCTGGGACTACAGGCACACACCACCACACCTGGCTAATTATTATTATTATTATTATTATTATTGTAGAGGCAAGGTCTCCCTGTATTGTCCAGGCTGGTCTCAAACGCCCAGCCTTGAGAGATCCTCCTGCCTCGGCCTCCCATACTGCTGTGATTATAGGCATGAGCCACTTCTCCCTGCGTCTATTTTAATTTTTAATTCACTTACTTTTTAATTTTTTTTTTTTTTTAGATATGAGGTCTTGCCATGTTGCCCAACCTAGTCTTGAACTCCTGGGCTCAAGCAATCCTTGAGCCTCAGCCTCCAGAGTAGCTGGGATTACAGGCGCACACCACCC